CATCAGCAACACTTTCCTGCTCTTCTTGAAAATACATTCAAACAAAAGCTAAAAGTCGATTTTCTCATCATTGTGGAGTGAGCATTGATTTTTTTTCTCTCCTTTGGATTTATATTCTGGTGTAAATTACTGGGTTTTGCACAGATAAAGATAAAGTAGACGGCGCAGCTTAGACAAAGGTTTATTTTACCATAGGGACGCTCATTGCTCCAAAAGACAAACAAAGAAGGATAATAAAGAATGTGCAGCCCCAGACAGCACAGATAGGTCAGACTGGAACTTCAGACCCAGAGCTGCACATAGGAAACTGACGCAGCTCTTAGCAGCTTTATAATGGTGTCAGTTGCTTTGCATCAGTGACATTGTGTGTCCTTGTTGTTTCCTCGTTTTTTCCTCGTTGTCATGTATTTCATATATTTGTTCAAAATAACTTCAGTGCCCTAAGGCCACTTTGTGAAAAAAACATTGGAGTTTAATTTTTTTTGTGCATAATTTCACAATCCTGATAACAAATGACTCATATCCACTGATCCATATCAGTATACAGTAGAGGAGTGTGAATTACACGAATAGGCAGATTGTTTAAACTACTAAACAAACAAAGAGAATTGAAACAAATTAAAGATTATTCCACATGACTTCATGGGTCTTTAGCCTCTCAACAAGCAGAGATGACTTTCAAGCAGTGCCACAGATAACAGATGAGCGACTCTCTGTATTTCATCAGTTACAGTATCTCCCAAATCTAATTGTGTTTGCTGTTTATTCATGACCTCGCAACATGCAAATATCTCTAATGAGTGTGTGATTACTCAGATGTGTGATTGACTTGGAGAACAATGAAGGCACCGAGCTATTTTTGCACATGTATTTATTCAAACATTGTCCTCTCAAAGTCATTTTATGAGGAGAATTAAACACACACTATGGGTCAATATTTAACAATATTAACATTCTGCAGGCCAAAGTGTGTTTATCATAATGCAGACAAACGATCTGCCCTGTGCGATTAAAAAAACATGTTTGACCTTAAGGACGAAACGGTCGGACTCACCATTGTTGGATGTTTAAATTAGACTCAAGCGAGCACTGTACCCATTGATCTGGAGCTCGACAAAGTCACAAGAATAATCTTGATCAACAGACTGGGAAGTTGTCATATTTTGCTGTCATATGAAGCTGGAGTACTCAGAAACGGGGAGAATATGCAAACTGCACTCAAAAAGACCCGGGGCGGATCAACATTCGAACCAGGATCCTTCGGGCTGTGAGGCGGCTGCACCACCAGTGCCGCCCGACATCCAAACAGACATAATTACTGCATTCATTTTTATTAAATGGCAAAATTGTAAAAGCAAGACGTCATGTAGGGGGTAAACAGACCTGCTCATGTCCTCTGTCTTCAGTAGAAAGCATGTCACTACCACTATTACCATATAGATCAATACTACACACACCAATTTGTCAAAGGCTGCTGCACACTGCTTATTTAAGAAAGATAATCTGTGTGCTGTACCTTCCATTTCAATCACTGGGTTATCACAAGGCCCAACATGCTCCTCCTGGCTCTCAGAGGAGAGCTGTGGCCTTCAGATCAGGGAGTTTGAGGGAGTCGCAGTCGAGGCAATAGCTAACCTCAAAGCATGACAGCTTTTTTTCAGTGGCAATTACACACCGTCTTTCCCTTGCTCGCACACTGACTGCATGTACGTGTGTGTGTGAAGGCGATTCAGAAAGAGACAGAAATACATCAACCATATTATATGCTAGCAGTTGATTCTATAAGAGCAATATATTACATGTGTAATGTATGCTGTATGGTGCACACACCACTGTGAATGATAATGTGTTCAACCTCTAGTCTTTCCCCTCACAGCTGCATGAGGGGTTTAAGAAAGCACATTGAAGGATAAATACAATTAACCTCAACTTAAATCCTATTTTCATGGTGTGGGCCGTCATCTCTATGAGTCAGAAATATGGGACAAGGCCAAAATCACGACAATGAAGTCAGATGGGCCAAAAACATCACACATGGTTTATGATCATACAGGTTTTAAACAAGTCAACGACTAAACCACTGCTGAAGGGGAAAATGAAAGTGAACAAAACCAAACTGTGCAAACCAATACTGGGTTCAATCATTGACTATAAAGTTGGACGCCAAGATTGCTCCTCAAAAATTATGCCAAATAATCTTGATCACTGACCTGGTGGATGGCTGCAGTATAGTTTATAAACCTGGCCTCCTTTATGTTTGTGTTTCATGGGACCTTGTTCAATTCCCTGATCTCGACTGTGCAGACTCTGGCTCTAGTTGTGCAAGATGGCAGCACTCGTATCCGAGATATTTTGGCTTCATTTTCAAGAGGAGGAAGTGGAGATGCTTCATCCATCTTTATTTACAGTCTATATGTTCAACCTAAAGTGAATTTAAGTTTAAATCTATTCAAGGTCTTTTTAATCCTTAAGCAGGTATAGATGCTATATAAATAGTGAAAGTATCAAAGTGTTAAATCCATGAAAGAATGCACACAGCCCTTAATGACAAACTCTATGATGTCACATCATAGTGATCATAGTTATCTTTTTCTTTTTTGAACACACTCACAGATCCTTCATGTCAGTCCATTAACACTGCTAGATTTGTATCGATGTAGCTTAGTGGTTTGTACCTTCCAGTCATTTCCATGTCTAACACTTACACCTGCCTTTAACACCGGCCTCTTTTATGATTTGGGGATTTTGATGTTGGTAATTTTGAGGCTTTAGGTGTGATCTCAGGGAGTGAAGCTTACATGCAGGCTGAGCTAACTGAGCACTGACAGGTTTTTAAGTCTCTCCTCCTGGATGAAGCGTGGAAGACAGAAAGTGCAGACAGACCTGCTTCACATGAATCATCCCATCCAATCCCACCTGGGCCTCAGCCGGGACATTTGCATATTCAGATGAACCACTGAATTAACGTGAGGTTTGTGATGTGAAGTCACCAAAGTGGATGCATTATGCATCTATCCTGTGCATGTGCTAGAATTCATCATTATAATATTTGGCAAATAATATAATTTATTGTTAAAATATTTGCACTGGTTGCCTTTGTTACCTGGCAAAGAAGAAATCCTTTGGTTTAGCGGCTTGGTCTCTGTTTCTCTCTCCACCATCCTCTGTTCGTTCATCATCACAACAGTCAGTGTCTCTGTGAGCACTCGGCTTGCATACACACAACCAATCCCACTATTTAGGCAATTTCATTAATGCAAAAAATATTGAATCCTGCTTAATTCTAACTCTGCCCCCTTTGCTTCATCTGAATGGAATCCTGCCTCTAGTGTGTGTTCTGATGCTTCAGGATGCTCTGGTCTATCGTACCCCCCTCTCATTTCTAAAGGCTGTGTGTTGTTGCTTACATGCATGACTCTTCCTGATGTTAATCTTACACTCCAGCAGACATTTTTAGACCCATGAAGTGAGACAGATTGCTTCTATATGAGTTTGATTTAAGCTTGATAGGTGATATGGGGTGTGTGTGTGTGTTAACTGTGGGTGGAAAGTGGCTGGCTGTCCCCTCCTAACCTGCTGTAGTATATTACCCAGTAAGGAAAACACACTCTTCCTTTTTAGTGCATGAGCACATGAAGCACCTTCTAGTGTGTGGGATTTGTTTAATGCTAAATCAATTAAATGACCTGTCTTGATATAAATGCACATGTATTTATTAGCAGTGGCGTATATGCATCTAAAGCCATTTTCAGACATGACCTGTGAGTAAAATCCTGAGTATTGAGTTTACCCAGATTTGCCTTTCACACATGTACAATGCAGATGGAGGTTTTCTGCAAATTTTTGCAAATCTAATAACCTTTCTGTTTAATCTGCACAACTACCAAAAATATAAAACGAACAAATTGTGTTGTTTAATGAGTTGATTTGCGTTTTATATGTGCTGGTTTTGTTACATGTGGACAGCATAACTAGCTAGCTTTTCCCCTCTGTTTCCAGTTATTATGCTAAGCTAAGCTAATCGACCATTACGTCTAACATTTAGATCCTCCATCATGCCTGTTTTCCTAGAGGCCCGAGTTCCTAAATTTTAGTGTGACCAGAGTAGAAAAATTTATACGATACAATAAATAAATAAATGCAGTGCACAGGAAACAAATTAAAAAACAAAAAAAACCCAAACCAAGGTTTTGACAGATGTCAGGGGGCCTCTGGCCTGTAGGGGGCGTCCAAACCCCCAGCAGCTATATGGCCACATCTTTGCTTCTCTTATTTCTTATTAAATTATTGTAAATAATGTCAAACACATGTGTCACCTCTTAGTTAAATACTTTGTTGGCCAATAAGGATTATAACTAAAAACTGTTATTGCTTAAACGTCTTCAGGTGTGTGTCGCGGTGATGACGTCTGCTCAGGTGTTGAACCGTGGTAAGTTTGCGTCAATGCCGCAAACCGGGAAAAAGCCGCTTCTTGAAAACAGCGCGACAAACAAACTCCGGCACGGTGGAGCGTCAGAGAGAAAGACGAGGATAAACAATGGTGGCAGAGAAACTGGAATCTGGTGCTAGCGTTAGCACCGCCTAGCACGGGCAGGAGGATGCTAACAGGCCGGTGGAGGAGGACGCCGCTGCAGCAGCTGCTAGCTGCTAACGTTAGCCGCGCATCAGCGAGAAGCGGAGACAGACGGACACACACCTGCTCCACTGAGCCGCCATCACTGCAGCCTCACACCGACCTCCAGAGCGCAGGGACCCGCTGACAGGTGGGTCATCAGTTTAGTTAAAACACAAGTTATCTGTAAATACTATAAATACTAATTGGTGCGAGGCTGAAGTGGGTGACAGAGGCTGTTTACACGGGACCATAGAAGTAAATTTGAAATCAAGGAGCTGGGGGAGGTGTTTGTGTGGGTCTCTCATCATCCATGGATCGTGTCCTGTACAGTTTACATTCATGTTTCTGTCTGTCTGTCTGTCTGTCTGTCTGTCTGTCTGTTGTGCTTATGGACAGACAGACATAGTCTTTATTATGCTTCCTAGTTTTATGAACAACGTGGTATGTTGTGTGTCCTTCTGCAATGTGTTGCATGGCTGGTGTGTTGAGTAAATATCACCACACTTGTCATCTGCATCTTCTAACAATTTACAAGTTGTATTTTATCCATAATTGTGCATCTTTATCTCATACTCATGCTTTTCATGTCTGCATTTATCAGAGGAAGGTCGTGGTCACTATTGAATGGTGTGTTTGCTTGCTTTGTGCTGCTTGCATGGTTTATACACATAAATGCTCAATTATTGATATAGTATAGTATAGTGTAGTATGAATTGATCACCGTGTGTGTGTGTGTGTGTGCGTGTTACACGTACAAATAGAAGCCTCCATGTGAGAACCTATGATTCTCTGCAATAATAATCTGGTTCTGCAAAAGTGTGTGTGAAGTGTTGAAAGCGTTGGGAAGAGAGGAGATTCGTAACAAGAGGAAGAAAGAGATGAGAGAGGAAGAGCAGGCACTGCCCAGAGTGACCATGCCCACAAAGTATTTGTGAACCCTGTGCACAGTCCTGACGCCCAATTTTCATCTTGGCTTCCTCCAATGTAGAATTTGTAATTTGTAAAATACATTATTTTTATTGCTTAGTAACGACAGGAACAGCACATTCCTGTGAATTAGCAAATCGTAAGATGTCAGAGGCCAAAAATATTGGAAACAACATCTTATTTTTATTATTATTTTTAATAATTTATTCACTGTGTAAAATTCTCATCTTAGAAGAAACTACCCTCAAGGGAAGAAATCTCACTTTGAATTGAACTCAAAAGTTGGCAAGACTTTTTTTTTTTTGTGGTCCTTTCAAAGTTCATATAACAGCTTTCACAGCAGCATGAAGGGGGTCAGCACACCGAAGTGTGTTTGAACCACACCAAACACGTTGGGTGGTGTAAAAACACCAAGGCTTTGATTTATATATATTCAATTCCTTTTATTTTTTATTTTATATTTATGTCATTTGTCCCTGCAAGGAATATGTAACCTAGGTTTTCAAAAGTGCCACACAAATGCGTTTCGTCTTTTACTTTGTTTCACTTATATAAATAAGAAATATGGGATATATAGGATATCAATCTCCCCTCTCTTATCTAGACGCCCCAGAAAACTGTACGCCTTCAATCCTCACTTACATTCACACTGCAGGGATAGTAAAACTGAAATAAGTTAGTGCTTCGCCTGCTGTGCTGGGACCCATCGTAAAATGCTTTGAATACTGTGGAAAATCTGTACTGCAGTTGGAGGGAAGGGTTGGCTGTTAACCTGGTGTTTAACAAGGCTCTGAGGGCCTTTTGCACTTTAGCACAAATTTTTTTTGGCCATGTCACTGTAAGCTCTGTATGTCAGAGAATGACAACATCCGTATATTTGCACAGCGCATGTTAAGATTTGTAGCTCAGGGGTAACAGATGCAGAATTTTAGCCGCGTATGCTCGAAGGTTTTGGAGTCTGGTGAATTTTTTTCTCCTTCACAGATATTCATTTTTTTGCTAACTGTTATAACCCTGTTGTATAATGTAGCTTCAATCAGTCGTATTGTAATAGAATTCAGTTGACAGCCTGGGCTGAGAGGTAGATGACCTTTTGGGATAAACTCAACAGGAGGTGTGATTAATTTTAACAATCTCCTTCAGTTTGATTTTACATCAAATCTTTCTCAAGCCTTGAAAAACAGACTCCTAACACTTAAACCAAAAAAAGGTGCACTTCTGCATGGTTTGTGCGATATTAGAGCATTTCCGATCATCATCACCATGCTAATTCGTCAAACATTGCCTGTACGCAAGCGGAAAAACAAGTAAACCTACGCTAAAGTGTTTTGCTTTCCTGGGATCTAGAAAATTGCATTGTTTGTGTGTGTGTGTGTGTAATTACTCACTCACAGTGAGACGATAATTGTGAATTTTTTTGATGTCATGAGTGAAAATCTGGCAGAAATGAACTTGCATGGAAACAAAGAACAAAGCAAAGCTTTTATTCGAGACTTGAGTTAAAGCTCCGAATGAAAGGATAGAAATAAACTGTTTCATAGAAAAGCCTCTTCACTGCCATAGCATGTCTATCAAGGGCCCTGATAATTAATTTTTTGCCTCACAAATCTCATTAGTGCATAATGAGGGAACAAGTCCTATTACAAAGACATGAGTGAGACGGTTATCATCTAAGATGTATTATAGGCCCTGGGCAGAGTGACAGGTTCACCTCTGCTTTCAGGACAAACAGGACATAAAGGGAATCCTCCCTGTTGTCTGAGCTGGTGATAGAAACCTCTCACTATCACATTTTGTTGGACCTCAGCTGTAATTCAACAGATATCTACTGGTTCTTATCAGACCTTTTATGAAGAGATCAAGAGATGCTGCGTACCGATCCGATACCAGTGCGTTTTACAAAATACTGTAACGGCTGTATGCTAATAATCCTGTAGGAAATGATGATTGCCTTCATTGTTGAATGACCTGGCTGAGGTTAAACCCTTTGTCAAACAAATACATACAGAGAAAGAATGACATAGACCTTAGTTTATTTTTCTAGTTTGACAGCTGTAACTGAAAAAGAACAGAATTTAAAAAATCCAGGAATACACAACACTCCTCAAAACCAATGTCTTGCATATGGTACACGTTGCTGTTTTACTTGTGGGACTTTCCTCCATGAAATATTGCCAAATTGCTGCTAGTTCCGGGCTAACACTACACTACCAGGAATCACTTTGTTTCATTTTGGGCGAACAAATAAACTTGAAATATGTTGTATCGGAGCAGTACATAGATTCGCATATTTGCTAATTCCCTACCCGGTATTTTGGATTCTGGTATCAGTATTGGAACATCTCTGTGTTTATTTTAACGGCATGACATGAGTTGTGTAGTGAGGTCAGAAGCTGCATTATGAGTGTCATGGCAGATGAATCTTCTGTCATCCCTGGAAAGTTGGAAAATATTATTTTTGCAATTGCAGCCCGCACCCCCCTCCCCTCTCATCGGCTTTCTCGTTTCTGCGACTCAACAAATTACGGCTCCAGCAATGCCTCTAGTCTCTCATTCCCCCGCTCCTCTACAAAATAAGATGCTATGATGAATGTGGCAGTAAATATCATTACACAAGTAGATCAGTGATCTGCTTTAGGGCATCGCTTTGGCACTAACGCTCCTAATATCAAAGAGTTCATATTAAGAGGGTTTAGATAATTATCATGCAGCCGGCATTGTCTTCCAATAATACATCAAAGCATATGAAACAGCAAAACCCCTCTTAGATCTTAATTTATGAGTGTCGCATTGTAATTCTGAAGAAGGAGTTATTTCATTAGATAATTTCTACTCCACTCTCTCTATATACACTTGTGGCCGATGCTAATTTCCTGAAGGGGCAAACACCATTGTGTACGATTTAGATATCCAATAAAAATCTTGATTGTTCTGGGCTTTGTGAATAAATTGACCAGGCCTTCAAAATGTGGAGCGCATCATGTAGAAAACAGCACGCAGATGACATGATAGTCTCTGAAATGAGTTAATACTTCTGGGGATGATATTTCAATCATGAACTAATTAGACTAAATCTGTTCTTTCCTGCTGAAGAATTATCATAAATTTAGCCTTTATATTTTTTCTTTCTTCCCATGTACTTCCCCACATTTACAGTTCCTGAGTTTAGCCACCACTGTTAAATCCCATCCCAACTCTAAAGTCCTATCTCTCACGAGCAGATAGGAACGATGGAGCAGATTAGTCCCAGAGTGAGGAGAGATTTCAGTGGTTTGATTTATTGTCTTTGAGGCGGTGGCACTGAACACAGTAGGGGTTCCTCTCTCTCACAGTATGCTCAGAATATGATAGCTGGCTCACATACTGTGTATAGGCATACACAGGCACATGCACCCCCACCACACACGCACACATGCCATGCACTATTGGAGCTCAGATGTCCTCCTTCTCATTAGCATCTTTGTAAATACAGTTTTTTTTTAAAATCAAAAAGTGGTGTTTTTTTCAAGTCTCTCTCCAAAGTCATCTGCAATGTTGAATATTGAACGTCACGCCTTGTGAGAAGATGAAGATTTCATTGCCACTTGTTCGTTTGTTTGTCTGTCTGTGAGCAGGATTACTCAAAAACTACCCCTCCAGTAAATTTGGATGTGTTTGCATTGGCTCTCTGTGTTTGTCTTACTCTGGAAGTGAGAGATGTTGTTTGCCACTATCTTTGTTGTTGTAGTTGTGGTATATGAACTCTGCTATGCACTTGAGTTAGAATGAATTTTAAAATGATGTACTTATAGATATTATTCCCATGTGAATTGCCCTAAACACATGTGTTGCTAGTGTTTCTTTTAGAATGGAAATGTAGGGCAGCCTGATGTGTAATCCAACACTTTGCTTCTAATACTATCTCTGCATTACCTTGAAATCAATAAATCAAAAAAGACTGTATACAACAGACTGACTGGATCTTAACCTGGAAACACACTAAGCTGTTGACCATTGTAAATGTCTGCTTGCCGACATAAGGTCAAAACACGCCTGTGCTAGCTGAACAGAGCTGCCAGCATATTTTGTTTTCTTAGCAAAGCTGCTATTATTTACTGTGCATAAAGTAAGTGTCTAGTTAAAGTAGCAATAGAAACTGAAGATATACTGAAGACTCTCTGTTGGAGCAACCAACTGCATCAAGTTAGGAAGATACTTTTTTGTATTCAAGTGTACTACAAA